CTCTTGCTCGCTCTCCAATAAATAAATAAATAAAATCTTTAAAAAAAAATTAAAAAAAATCCCTTCTAATTTCAATTAAACTCACTTCTGAATTAAAAATTTGAAATCACTCTTAGTTTTTAATTGCTGTTAGAATTAAGGGAATACCACTATGTTGTTCCACAATTATATTTTTTTCTCTTTTGTGTTGAGACTACAGAGTTCAAAACATCATTATTCAAGACATTTCAAATCTGTTTTGGGCAAATGGTCCAAATGGCATCCTCCCACCGACCAACACACTGTCTCCTTACTAGTAGTATCTTCTTGTAAACAGAACTAGTGCATTTGAAACATTCCTTTTGGAGCCAAGTATAAACACTATCTAAACGTTGCATGTAATCCTAGATTGAGAAGGAATCTGTGTGGAATTTGTTTTGAAGTCACTGATGTCTATATCTGCTCAATTCAGAAATCTTTGCTTTCATGCAGCTAATTGCTAGTATTAATTGCTGTCGAGATTTCTTCGGCGGCAATACAAAACTAATATTGGAACTGATTCTGAATCGTTGCTCTGGTTTATCAACATGTTCAGTGACTTAAAGGCTCAAAGATTTAATGATCATACAGGGTTTTCTGCATCTTGCCAGAGAAATTTGGGTGGATTGACACCACCTGACTGTTTATCATGGTTGCATAAAGCCATTTATTATGTCTTACCACCTAGGCATGTCAGAAATCTCTAGTGCCCACCAATACCCAGGTCATCCTCTCCTCCCTTGGCATGGTGCTGGACTTCATTTCTAAGCTGCTTGCAGAGAGGGGGTGCCAAGGGCTTGAGTTCTGGCCGATGAATTGTGAACGGAAAATCCTGCAGAGGATCCAAAGGCCCAGGAAATGACAGAGCTAGGGAGGAAAGCTTGAGTCCCTGCATGACCACGTGGAGCAGAGCACACCCTCCCCACCCCACGGCTCCTTAACGGCATTACGCTGCAACATAAGGGAGGAATCAACCTTTGCCCTAGCTTCACTATGTAATTTTTCATTTGTGGGCAGATTCCAGCACAACATCCACAGAACAGCACAGACCTGTCACATTGCTAGGCCCCTGCCCATCATAGGGGTGGGGTGGGGGGCTCCTCTTAGGACATAGGAGGCAAATCCTAATGATAGAGCACACAAAATCTGGGATGCTGAGAAAATGATGTGTCAGGGCAAGTCAGAAGGTTCCACACTACAGGACCCCTCAGTTCCTCTCTCCTACTACCATCCCCATGGCCCATCAATCTCTCGTCCTACTTTTGGGTTTTTCCCAAATTCTGATCACCTTATGCTAATTACATAGATAACTTTTTCTCTTCTTTTTCTCACTCAAGAACTACTGCCTTCCTCAGATACTACCTTTTCCATGAAGCTTATCATGATATCTTCCATTTCCAGGGAAAGTTACATGTAGACATAACACCCTATACAAAATGTTATTATAGTGATTATCACAGCATACTGTGATTATTGACTCAAGTGTCTCTTTCCCTGGGGTATAACCCCTTGAGGGAGCTCTTATTGGCTTTATTCTCAGTTTCCAACACAGTGCCTAGCACATAGCAAGGACTCAACAAAGGTTTATTGAATGAATGAAAAAAAGATAGTTTACCAAATGTCAGTGTACTCTTTTCACTGCTTGTTATAGAAATCCAATTCAGACTGGTTTGAGTAGGAAAAACAAAAAAACTTCGTTCACGTATTTCAAAAATCAAGGAAGGATGTCAGGCATGGCTTGATCCCAGTGCTCAAAAAAAGGTTGTTAAGAATATCTCTCCATTGGGCGCCTGGGTGGCTCAGTTGGTTGAGCGACTGCCTTCGGCTCAGGTCATGATCCTGGAGTCCCGGGATCGAGTCCCGCATCGGGCTCCCTGCTCGGCGGAGAGTCTGCTTCTCCCTCTGACCCTCCTTCCTCTCATGCTGTCTCTCATTCTCGCTCTCAAATAAATAAAATCTTAAAAAAAAAAAAAAAGAATATCTCTCCATTTCGTGTCTGTTCTTCTCTGTGTTAGCTTCATTGTCTGGCGAGCTCACCCCTTCTGGAGACAAGATGGTCACCAGTAGATCATGATTTCCCTTCTAACAAGATGAGCAACCTCCAGAGGAAAAACAGTTTCTTTCCTCATGATGGTCAGGGGCATAGCTAGGGGCAGGGACCATGTGATGTATCTGTGCCCATTCTCCTTATGCCAGGCTGGAATCTGCCCACAAATGAATAAATACATAGTGAAACTCAGGTGTTCACAATCCATGTTCAACAAATCTAAAGAAAGAAGTCTAGGGTAAAACCGAAGGAGAAGATGTCCAATTAGCTTCTTTTTGAAAACTGCATAAGCTTGTTACCAGGAATATTTGTCCCACTCTGTACCTCATCATGAGGCGTCATGCATCTGGCCCTTGTTCCAGCCTTCAAGCTCCCTAATATCCAGAAGGCAGGGAGGGGCCACCCTGAGGTCCAGCCAGGGCCTTGACTGCAGGGGGTCGGGGGTTTGCTCACAAATCCTTTTTATGATCTCCAGACCCACTTGTTTCAGGAAATCAATGTCTGTTTCCCTTTCTACCTCTTTTGCCTCTGAATGGTACCAGCATCTGGAAGAACGAAATAGACACTTTTCACACCAGGTTCCAGGCTGATGGATAGATCCTTTTCTGCCTCCCTTTTCCCCTCCAGGCTGGGATCAGAGCAAGCCAGTGGCATTGATGACAGTTTTCCTGGTTCTGGGATGAAAGGGTTACTGGGGCATGAAGACCTAGAAACCTCCAGTGGAATCTAGGACAACTGATCATCTAAAATTATCCTGTAATTAATAAGTTAGTCACTGCTCCTTACTAAGTGGGGTAGTCACCACCACATTTTAAACCTATTTAAAACTGTTAAATCTCATGTTCAGGAAGAATTCTGGCTCTATGCATTTCTCAAAGCCCCCCCTTTTTTTCTTATTACAAAATGAACCAACGAATACATCCTTTCAGAAAACCCTGTGCCAACTTCAAAATAAACACAAAACACTATAAAGCACCTTATTCAGTCCCCCAAATGGACTTTAATCCATCTCTCTGCCATGTCCCTATAACTATACATTCAATAGGGCCTTTCTCAGTTCAGCCTTATTTGTCCTCCTCTTCTGCTTATAAGCCCTTGGAGGGCAGGGGTACATGTCTTGTTCATCTTTGTTTCTTCTGCTTGGCCTTGGCACATGGCCTGTGCTGAACCCTACCTGACTCCTGCCTTTTTTCCCTCCCCCTCTGCTGCAGGCCCTTGGTCCTCACATGTAGGCCTGGAAGCAGAATCAAGTCCCTTAGAACACAAGTTCCAGAAGCTCGTTGTCTTCTGGGCTACGTCCACAGGGCTAGCAAAGTGCCTGCCGCCTAGTGAACGCCCAGTAAACATTTGCTGAATGAATGAGGTTATGATGGCCATGAACCAATGTCTTACCTTCTGTTCAAGTTTACTTGGTTGAGCTACAGGTTAGTTTCCCTGCACTCCAGTCACCTGCTGATGAACTTGTGCTCTCCGCCTGTCCACCGGACCCCGGCATTTTTAGCTTTGCCTCCCTTGGTCTTCTCTTTGCCTTGCTTTGCCACCTCATAGCCTCACCTTGCACGCTAAGTGGTGCATGTCTGCCTCGCTTCTTTCCTGCTGTCACTGTCCTCTTCGGACACAGACTGACACATCTATCCCTGCCCAGCACTTCCTGTGGGGGTCCTGTCACTAGCCCCAGACTCTCCAAGTCAGAGGTCTTATTCCGAGTATTTTGCCATACCCATGGTGCTTTGTACATCCGGATGGACTGAATTGTCTCTTTGGTCAATTCAGAAGAACTGAATGGTATCTTTGGTCCTGTATCTTTTGGTCAGTCATCGGCTTACTCAGGGGAAATGTAATTATTTTTGCAAGACTGAAACCTGGCACCCTACTTCATAACGTGTGTCTCATTCCAAGCTCACCATAAAAGGAGGCCATGCATCTATTATATGCCAGGTACTCGGGGCATTTTCCTTCAGATAAGACACTGGCGTTACTCCTTAAACTATGTGTACACTCCTACCTTATTTAGATCATTGATCGCTGCTGATATATTGCTTAGTTTTGGAAGCCCTCCACTAAGCTATTTGATAACATCTATTTATAACATTTGGTCTGGGGAAGGAGCAGATAAGCAAGTTCGTTGTGATTAATTGGTGCGTGATTAGCATTTTCAGTGTCTCTGAACCCAGTTAAAATCTACTCTAATACATTTGTAGGAGAGCAGGAATGTATCAATGGACCTATAAACAGATTAATATGATGGGGTTAGAAATTAAAGTTTATCATTAACTAGATGTTTCACTAGTATTCATGCTATGTTGTTTAACAGGTAGCGCTTGGGGAGCTGAATCCAACACGGAACTGTTTGTCTCCCGAATTCCAGGAAGTCAGCTATTGAGGGGGAGGAGGGAATGTGCGTGGTTCAGGGGCTGCCAAGCACTCAGTACAAGGAAGATGATGTTTGGAGAATGTGCACATTCAAAGCCCCACAAATCCCTGCCCACAGACAGCAGGGTGCCCCGGGGTCTCATCTCAGGCACCCCGTGCTGCTTGCCGTTGGTGTGTTAGTCTGTCGGCTGACATCACAGGGAATCTTATGCCTCAGAGGCTGCCTTTCCAGAGGCTCTTAGACCGTGCATTGCCTGCCTTTGATAGAACTACGAGAGAGCGGAGGGTACCAAACCCAACCATGGGTTATTTCGGGGGCTCCTTTTCTATCAGCTGCGTATTTCTTAAGTAATCTCGACACCCGATGTGTGGCTCAAACTCAGGAGCCTGAGATCAAAGGTCCCAGGCTCTCCCGACTGAGCCGGCCAGGCGCCCCGTAAGCTGTATTATTTTTAACAGAGTGCCTGCGATCACCAAGCTGCACATTTTTCTTTCAGGTGAGTTCCAATGAACTGGCTCACAAAGGGGAAATGCAAACGTGGCGGCACACGCTGAGGGTAGAATGGCACCACCTTTGGGGCACAGCCTCCTTCTGGCCAGCACGCTGGGCATCTTTGTACTCCACAGCTTCTCGAGTGGGCAGAAGAACAGCATGCTGATTTTCACGAAGGAAAACACCATTTGGAACTGTAGCTGCTCTGCGGACGCCCAGGACTGTGACTACAGTTTGGCCAACCTGAGGTGCAGCTGCAACACCATGCTACCTTTGGCCCTTGAGCAAGCCAGCCACATCGACCATCTGACCATCTGGTTCACCGATGCATCTGCCCTGGGCCTCCTGTTGAACTTCACGCTGGTCCAGGACCTGAAGCTTTCTCTGTGCAGTACCAGCACTCTCCCCGCTGAGCACCTGGCCATCTGTGGTCTGAAGAGGCTTCGCGTCAACACCGAGGCCAGGCGCCTGTCACCAGAGCAGAGCCTACTCATCTACAACGGCGAGGAAAGTGAACCCAGACAGAAGCCTGTGTGGTTTCGAAGAGGCTGGCAAACATATATGTACATCTCATTCTTAGATATGGCACTTTTCAACAGGAGGTCATCCTTAAAAGCCTACAGTATTGAAGACGTTGCCCGCATTGCCAACCATTTTCCTTACTTGTCTTACTTCGAAACCTTCCCGATTTTAAGCAATAGGAGCTATGTCATCACGTTCATTTACTAACGTTGTAAAAGAGGCCAACCGCCAGGAACTTTGGCACACTATGGATAACTTGAACAAGGAATCTGGGAACGAGGCCATGGGTAGCCTTACCTACAACTTCACCTGTCTGCCCAGCCCCCATTCACCACAGAGCCACACGTACAACCAGCCCTCTCTGCTCTCCTCTCTGCCCAACCACGGGAGCTGTTTCGAGAAACAAAAGAAAAAGAAACAAACAAACAAACAAACAAAACCACCCCCCAAAACCAACCAAACAAACAGAACGACTTGAGTCCAGAAGGTCTTAAGAGCAGCCAGAGGTTGGGTCTGTGGAGAAATATCAGATCAGAAATGGAGAAAGCGCACACCAAGGACTGCCTAGAGGAACTCAGCACAGAGGATGACCCCCAAGGAAGGTATCTTCCTTCAAAATACTGCCTTCATTTCTTTTCTGCTTCCTTTTGTTGCTTTGACTGGACTTCCCCTAAGAAGAGGATAGATTTCAGAGGCTTCAGGACTGTGAGTCCCACAAAATGATTAGGTTCTCTTAGACTGGTATTTCCCAAATATCTCTTAGACTGATACTCGCTAAGAATATATGCGCTGAGGAAGGGGAGTTTCGAGAGTGGAACAGGTCAGGTTAGGGTGGGACCTTAGGACCAAATGAGAGCATTAGGGTTCGAGGAGTGTGATACAGAAATGAAAACCAGAGCACACAAAACCCAATGGCATATATCTCAAAATTTTGCTTAGAGCAAGGCCTAAACCCAGGGAGTTTCTCTCTTGTATCCCTTTTCTTTCATTCTTTCTTTCTTTGCCTTCTTCTATCTTTGTCCCCACTGTACCACTTCGCCTTTCTCCTCCCATTTTCCTCATCCCCCCTTCTTCTGCTCCAGAAATAAGAACTTAGATTAGTACCATTAGAACTGCATTTAACACCACCAGGGGCTAGCCTGGGAATCTAATAATCATGTATAACGTTACGGACAAAAATGCTCATATGACTAAAAGATAATTAACAAAAGAAATTTTAGGGCTCAGTCCACTCGGATGTTTAATTCTGGAAAGTTAAGACACTTTGTATGACATGGTTGACACAAAATGGTCTTAGGTGTGATGACAAAAGGAACCAAGGTAACATATTAAAAAAAAAAAAAGGAAACAGACCTCAGTGTACAAAAATTTTCCTCACAGACTCAATTTACCACTGAGATACAATGTAAAGAATCCACGGCAATTATGATACAAATGACCAAACTTAGAGTGCAAGGAACTAGAAACATAATTGCATTTATAATGTCATAATGGTAAGAAAGAGTCTTATTATAAAGTAACAGGATGTCTTGGGGCTGATGATTGCAGATCACATTCACCACATTTTCTCTTACCCTTAACATAGGGTAACTGAAATAACCTGAAATATCTTACATTCGCTTAATTGGTGGGGGATTTGGCCATTCAGGCTAATTAGCATGAGTCCATAATGTCAGTGTTTAAATTAGGCCAAAACTAAGACCAAAGTATGAATTTTAATAGAATAATGCAATGACCTCATTATTGACATTGTATTTGGGAGGTAAGTTTAAAGTGAGAGAAAAAGACAAGGAAAAAAAGGATTTGGAAAAGGGAAGGCAAGAAGAATATAAGTGAAAGGATGAATAAGAAATATATTTACTATCAGGAGTTACTGAAAATGTAAAAAACTGAATTTTAATGGATTTTTATTAATAAAGTACAAAATTAAATGATTTAGAAATTATGAGCATCTTAATATGCATTCTCTTCCATTTGGTGGCTTTGAATAGTTTCAAAGCCCTTCCACAGATGTTGTAAGTGATTCTTGTAAGAAATAATTGTAGATCAATGGGACTTAAAGCAATAGAAAATGAAAGTTAATTTAGTAATAAATCAAGCTTGCCTGATTTATTTCTGGCCTGAAAATGTGGTTCAGGTTGCACTGATAGAGGATAAATAAGGAGCAGAGAAAATCCATAGCACATACATGGGAGAAAATGGCACTTGGTGCTCAGTGGACAGTGAGGGTTGGGGGGGGACAGCAGGGAGCCATGGGGATAGTGGAAAACTGAGAGTATTTGCCCCACCTGAAGGGTCCACAGCAGCTCAGCTCTAGCTCTGAGTGTCACTGTGGGAGAATACAATGGGGCCAGATCTTATCCTTCAAGAAAATTAGGAATTCCAGGTTTTTGTGTGAAATCTCATAATTTGCAAATGTTGGCACACTATTTTGCTTTTTTGTTTGTTTGTTGCTTTCAGTAACACTGTGTGGTCAAACAAACCACGTCAGTGGTCCCCTTAAGCTTGGGTCTGGCCATTTGTCACCTCTGATCAGTGGTGTGCTGGTAAAAGTTTAACCACCAGCTCTCCAAAAAAAAAAAAAAAAAGTACATAGATACATATGTACATAAGTTTATTATAAATTTTGCTGATATAAAGGATGTATATCACACAATTTACAAAATGATAATAAAATATACTGTATTCTTTATTATAAACTCTATGTATATAATTAATTCCCAAAGAATGCTTTAGGTGGTTTTTGGCAAATTCTTATATCCAAAGCGAACCTAGGGTTGTGATTGATGCGTGAGTATAGTTCTGGCATGAATGTTGGCTGATATTTTTACTTACATTAGGAATAAGAGAAAAATTAACAAAGATTTTTGTGGGAATGTCATTTGCTAGTCAATGATGTAAGCAAATTCTTTGTTGAATCAAATATTTTTCAAATACTGGAGGAATATTTCCTTAACTTGGAGGACTATTCAGAATGTTAAAGCTATTGAAATGATACACGTTTAAGTTTAATCTGCATTGTTAACGTTTTCTCCAGCACACTCAACAAAACAACAAATCAAACCCTGATATGTAGTGTTTTCCAGTGTTAGTGGTGTAAATACTGACATCATAACCAATTTCAAGCTACCAAGAGAAGCCACTGAACACAGAGTTGGGCAAAGATGCACAGTAGGACATGATTAGATAGTATTTCTACCTACAGATGCAATAGGCACAAATAATGCCAAGAGCATAAATAATAGTAAAATGCAGTAGAATTAAGAAGTGGTGAGTTTTGAGGATTATCTTTGTTTTTTTATACAATTAATCGTAAGTTTCTTTTTTTTTTAAAGATTTTATTTATTTATTTGAGAGAGAGAATGAGATAGAGAGAACGTGAGAGGGGGGAGGGTCAGAGAGAGAAGCAGACCCCCCGCTGAGCAGGTAGCCCAATGCGGGACTCGATCCCGGGACTCCAGGATCATGACCTGAGCCGAAGGCAGTCACTTAACCGACTGAGCCACCCAGGCGCCCTAATCGTAAGTTTCTATAATTTAATTTTTAATAATGACTAACAACCAGCTTGCAAAATTCCTGAAAAGTTAACAGTCAGCTCTGGTGAGCCAATGCAAGAGAGCCCCAGTGCCCCACTGACTGGTAGAAAGAGACGCAGAAGGAGTGGAGTGAAGACAATGACCTCAGGGTTGTGGAAGATCACTTTCAGTGCTTTTTTTTTTTAAGATTTATTTATTATTTTAGAGAGAGAGAATGTGTGTGTGTGTGTGTGTGCGTGGGCACATGCGCTCATGGGGGTGCGGGTGGGCAGAGGGAGAGACAGAGAATCTCAAGCAGACTCCCTGCTGGGCATGGAGCCTGCCACTGGGCTCGATCTCAGGACCCTGAGATCATGACCTGAGCTGAAATCAAGAGTCAGACGCCCAACTGACTGAGCCACCCAGGCGCCCCCGCTTGCAATATTGATATGCCTCATTTCCTCATTTTTCAGAGCTACCGGTGGGAATTTTAGGAAATTTTCCCTCCCCTCCCATGCAGTAGCTTACTCTTCAACATCTAGAGTCAGGATCCTAAAAGCCCTTAGATGGGAGATTGGGGGCTAGGGGAGTAAGGAATCTAAGGCCTTATGAGAAAAAAAGAATTAGGGGTTAAAACTCTTGAGTTAAGCTATGAAGGGCTCCTGAAAAGAAGAACAAAAGAATCCAGAAAAGCTATTAACAGCATTTTTTTAATTTAAATTCAATTAGCCAACATATAGTACATCATTAGTTTTGATATAATGTTCAATAATTCATCAGTTGCGCATAACCCTGGCGCTCATCACATCACGTGCCCTCCTTAATGCCCATCACTCAGTTACCCATCCCCCCCACCTCCCTTTCCACAACCCTCAGTTTGTTTCCCGGATATTAACAGCATTTTACACACATTAAATTAAAAATGAGAGAAGGGCAATCAATTTCCATTTCCCAGAGTTGCTTACTAATAACTTCAGGATCTCTTTCTCCAGAATGTACAGGAATACGTTTGTAAATCTGATTTGTTACAGGAAAAATGATGTGAAAACAAAAAGTTGTTTTATGCTGAGCCCTTTTCCTGTTCAAATTTTTAATGCATTTCAAATTTAGCAGAGTCCGTAGTCACAACTCACAACTCAGAATGACACACAAGTGTCATCAGGCCACCTGATGTAGCCTCCAGAAAAGCACTGAGGGGGCGGGGCTGGCTCTGCACAGAGCCCAGTGCATCATAACGCTTCACCAATTTAAATGATACAGGTACATCACCACACAGACGAATAAGTAAAGTGGTAATAACAGCTCAAAAACAGATACCCCATTTTATTTTATTTTAAAGATTTTATCTATTTATTTGACAGAGAGAGACACAGCAAGCAACAGAACACAAGCAGGGGGAGTGAGAGAGGGAGAAGCAGGCCTCCCGCAGATCACGGAGCCCGATGTGGGGTTCGATCCCAGGCCCCTGGGATCATGACCTGCGCTAAAGGCAGACACTCAATGACTGAGCCACCCAGGTGCCCCCAGATCCCCCATTTTAAAAAATCAGCACATGTTAAGAATAAAATCACAAATCCATGGGAAAGGACATTTAATAAATGGTGTGCAGAGGAGGAAAAAAAAGATCAGAAGGATACACACTAAAATATTAATGGTACTGTATCTGGGTGATAATATTAAAAGTGAGTTTCATTTTCTCCTTCCTGAGCATCTTGATTTCCTAAACTTTTTTGAATAAACATACAATCACTTTTGTAATAGGGAAAACCCAGTAAGAGTATTTTTATATAAACAAATGCTGGAACAAGTGCTTACTCCTTAAAGCTACAGCCTGACCTCCTACCCAACATCGTAATGTTAAGTTGGATAATAGTAAAATGAAACTACAAACAACTCTAAAATATGGGGAAGAAAAAGATCAACAATCCATTTAAAAACAGGGAAGTAGGGATGCCTGGGTGGCTCAGTCGTTAAGCGTCTGCCTTCGACTCAGGTCATGATCCTGGGGTCCTGGGATCGAGTCCCACATCGGGCTCCCTGCTTGGCGGGAAGCCTGTTTCTCCCTCTCCCACTCCCCCTGCTTGTGTTCCTGCTGTTGCTGTCTCTCTCTCTCTGTCAGATAAATAAATAAAATCTTTAAAAAAAAATAAAAAAATAAAAAATAAAATAAAAAAATAAAAACAGGGAAGTAAATAAACAGGCAATTCACATGAGATGACACTCAAATAGCCAATAATCGAAGAAAAAAATTGCCTCTACTAAGGGAACTAAGAGCAATGCAATGGGACACTGCTATTTCATCTATTCAACTGGCAAAAAAAAAGGCTACTTAATGAAAAGTTTTGTCTTACTTGTAGGCAAATAGATATTCTCATACAATGTTGGTGGGATAATAAACTGGTACAGCCACTTTTAAGTACAATTTAGGAATGTATCTTAAAACACATAAAAGCTAGAAGCCAATTCTCCTTCTTTGTATCTACCACAAGCACCTTCCCCTACAAATACACATATGTCAACTTGTAGAAACTCATCTAGCCATTCTCCTAGAAGAAATGCACTTTTTAAAAATCACATTGTACTGCAATAAAACGTTTTAAAAAGAAAAGAATGAATAATATAACTAATACCCATGTAATTGTCATCCAGAATTGACAAATGTAAACATTTTGTCACATTTATTTAAAACATTTTAAACATGTTTATTTTAA